TTTTTTTCCACTTCCCAATGCTTCAGCGCAGTTACACTATATGGAAGGTCAGAGATCTAAGTAAGATCAGAAATCTCTTAGCGTTTCTAATTTTTTTTTGTTTTGCAAAGGAATGCTTAGCCATATGAATTTTTGTGCTGCGAATACGGAATGAGACCTCATGCTCTTTTGAGTGTTTCATAGTTGTTGCATCTGTATTTATTCTCGACTACAACACCGTTTAGTCTCATTACATGCCGATTCTCAAAGATAAATTAGCCAGATTTTTTCAAAGTTTACAACGTTTTGTGAAAACTTCAAAATTATCTCAACTAGCACCGCATAACTGGATTATCAAGCAGTTTGAGAAGAATCCAGTTTGAGGAAAACATTGAAAACTCAAGAGAAAGCTAAAATGGTATGCACATAAACTACAGTAAAAGAAAAGACCTTCCTCAGGATACGAGCAGGCGACGAAATCGTAGCGGTGAATGGAATCTGCGTCAAAGGCGAACGGAAGTCAGCTGTAGCGCAGCTGATTCAGTGCAGCACAAATCCGGTCAAGGTTTGCGCTTTCGATGACGGTGCACAGGTCTCTGGATATTTTTTCGACTGTACAGATCACGATCAACAAATTGGAGACAGACTCATCCAAAGGGAAAACGCTGGATATCGTGATGAAGAAAATCAAACACAAGGTTCGGCTACTCCTTCAAAAAAATTCCGGAGCCTTAGTTGCTCCTTTTAGATGGTGGAATTCATGGATGCCGACTCCGCAGATGCTCTGGGCCTTTCACGAGCCATACTTTGTAATGATCCACTATTAAAGAAGATGAAGGTTTTTATCTTTTATTTTTGTGTATAGCGCCCATCTGAATGTCTGGAATTTCAGGTGCTGGAAAACAACACACAACTTTACCGAAATCTCATAAGCTTCTTCAGTGATCTCTTCTACTTTCAGGAAAAAATTAGTCACTATCAAAAAGGTAAGGTCTACTCTTTTCCAGCTTGGTAAGTTCAACATAAGAAAATTATTCTATATCTATAATTTACACATTTCCAGAGTTTGGTGACGTATTTTGCGAACTTGCCGCCCACGAAGCACATGCAAATGCTAATGAAGCTTTTACAGTCTTCGGCGAAGCACATAGACAACTCAGTAGAAAACAGGTAATTTTGCGAGCATGAATTTTTGTGATGCTCAGAACACTTTCCAGAGCGAAACCCTAAAAAATTTACGACCTCTCATCGCTGATCTCATGACTTACGTCGACAAAGTGATTCCAGATACGCAATTGACTTTGAAAAAGTGAGGTTCTTTCAAAATTTACCTTTACAGCCTTTTTGGTTCTGATTTATTTCCTTTAAACACTTTTATTGTCCAATGTTCAGGTATCTCGACGTGAAATATGAATACTTGTCTTACTGTCTAAAACTCAAGGAAATGGATGATGAAGAATTGGAATACCATTCTCTAAACGAAGGCCTATATCGCGTCGAGACTGGCAACTATGAATATAGGTGAAATGCTTCTTTCTAATTCTACAGTGTAGGTTTAATTCTGACAATGAGTAATAAGTCTTCATTTTTTATTCCTCTGGAATATTCCTGGGGTTGTTATAACTCGCT